CTACACAGATAGCAAATTTGTTTGAAAATCTTGCTATATTTTCATAACATTAACAGCCTTTGAAAATATTTGGTGGATACAGATTTTTAGCATGTTTGAAAGCCTAGTTTAAGAAATACATTTCTGAATGGCTGATTCGAGAAATACATTTTTTAATGGCTAATTTGAGAAATAATTTGAGGAATACATTTTTGAGACTAGGAATGGTGTATCCACTATCCCTTCTCAGGTTTTCAGAAATTTTAGTATCAAAGATGGAAATTGGCAAATAAACATCAATACATCTTATCATTTTTTTAACAATTCTGATATGTATTCTTTAACTCAAACTCTGTACTTAGCAGTTCATGGTATTTATGAGGAAAATGAAGACAGCAGATATTAAAAGATGTCAGAAAAGTAGTGTATTATGGAATTTTCTGGGTTTTGGTATTGTAGATCAGTGGCAGTTAGCAATGTGATACAATAACAGTGTAATAAGCGTAATCTTACTTTAAGGCTTGTATCTTTCCATTAATAATCTCGCTTTATTTCACCAAGTTTAGATGAAATGTTTCAATTTCGTATATATTTGAAGAGATTTGTTCAGTTCAATGGACAGGCAGCCATACAAGTTATTCAACTCTAATGCTTTTGGCAATATCCTGTCTATATGAACTCCACTTGTAGTTATAGCGTAGCCCTCATATCCACATCCACTGTCCCTAGCATGGGTCATCTGTCTTGTGCCGCCGCTTTTGATTTAGACAAATCTGGCCCCTTCTTGCCATCACACCTATATAAACCTGTTGTTACGGGTTAAATAACTACCGTCCCAGTCATAAGGTCGAGCGTGTCCCGACACGATGGGTTAATACTTGTGAGGGAACTACCTTCTTCTGCCAGGCTTGACAGATAGGAACGTCCACCGCAATCATGTCCAAAGGCCAACTTTCTAAATATATCCCCACATGGCTTGGTGGCTTGTTCATTCATGTTTGTCCATTGATAATTGGGATATTGATGCCATGGGAGGTTGGAAGAGTTAGGCAAGCGGAGAGGTCTCTGTGTCTGTCTGTTAAGGAGCAGGTGGGAGTAAAGAAGATTTGTGTGTGGGAAGGTGTAACGATTGGAGATAGTATTATCTAGTCGGAATGGTTATCTACAGGGCCCTGTGTATGGCTGTCAGTGGTAAGAGATGCTGATTTTTCATGTTTGGCTTGGTACGTGACCCACGAACTGCCAGGGTTAAAAATCCTTTTTTTCTCCAGGTAACATTGAAAATAACCTGCACCAGACAAAATTTTACCTGCACCACTCAGAATTTATGAAGTATGGATCATACTTAAAACTGTTCAGAAATCATTACCATTATTGTTTGCATACTTCGTACCTGGTAATACAGTTAATGCAGCAAATCAAAAATGTACAATAATTTCTTTACCTTAAACTACTATGTTATGCTTCTAATTCAATTCAAACATTTGAGAAAGATTGCTTAAGGTCTAAGTCTACGGCCATGGTTTCTTAGAACAAAAGGCATACTGAAATTTTAACCCGTTTTTTCAATCAAAGTATCACTGTTTTTCTTTCACGTTCTCCCTACTGATGAAGTACTAATGTACCTGATAACTGCCATGTCGGTGTTAGTTTAATGATTAGAAAGCAGTGAGAAGGTTCAATGTGCTGGAAACTGGATACTGCAAACTTCTTCCATGGTTTCAGTCCATTTAAGTTGGACTGAATGATTGGCGAAACATCACAGAAATCCGAAATAACAAGCAAACACCTAGTTTTCTTTGATATTCAAATGGCGTCAACAGTCATACTAGAAGAGGCCTGGACAGGTTATTGCAGGTAAAATTGGAGCTGTGCAGGTATTTCTGATGTCTACCTGCACCTAACCTGCACTGGTCCATGTACTGGGTATATGCAGGTTAGTGCTGGCAAAATTGGAGCTGTGCAGGTATTTCTGATGTCTACCTGCACCTAACCTGCACTGGTCCATGTACTGGGTATATGTAGGTTAGTGGTGGCAAAATTGGAGCTGTGCAGGTATTTCTGATGTCTACCTGCACTGGTCCATGTACTGGGTATATACTAGTATACAAATGTTGTTGTATGGGGATTTTTTATTTTCTGCATTGACTGTTATTACCTATGAAGTATGAAAGAAATAATAGCAATGGGTCCTGAACAGTTTTATTATGATCCATATTTCCCAATATTTGTGCAATGCAGGTAAAATTTGTCTGGAGCAGGTGATTTTGAGTGTTATCTGCAACAGTGCTGGTATGCAGAAAAAGTACTGTATTTCGAGCCCTGTAACATGATATAAATCTACTTGAACTTCATCTTTTCATATTTGACACGAGAATGACTGAAAGTAACGATTGAAGATGAATAAAATTTCCTTTGCAACTGACGAAAAGATTGAACGGAAAAAGGGTAGCCTGGTATCAAGAGTTCCCGTGTAAGTTTATTGTTGACAGTCTAAACTTGTTGATGGTGGCATGTTGTATTATTAGTTTTGTAGTGACATTACAAGGTTGTTGTGTATAATCACCAGGCCTTGGTGTTGAGATCTGGACCAGGGGTTGGCCCTCACCTTGTTTTGACACGTGGGCGTTATGCAGATTAGCCATGTGCCCGGGAGGATGGCCTTACGTCATAAGGATGCCTCCATTCATCAAATTACCGCTGTATACAAATGCCCTGTTCAAACAATGATTATGACCCGCGGAGCCCTGGATTGTTTCCTCCCGGGCTTCCCCAATAATCGCCCAGGGTTTTTTGTTTCCCTGGCTGAAAAGATCTCTCAGGGCGATAACCGTGTAAAGGGGTGTGTGAAGGGTTGCTTGGATCGCCACAGCACGTTTGCATTGTTCTCCCCACACAATGTTTGACATATCATCAACAACCAGGTCTTTGTTGATCCACGCCAAGTGGGTAAGGCTATCTGTCAACTAGCCTAGGTGGGTTGATACATGCACAGACTCAATATTTGCTAATCAGAAGCTTGGCTCCGCCCCTTTTTTGTGGCTCTTGCAACCACACATGTCTGTCTGGCCCACTGGGGGGATGTCCACCATGGTTGGCATGGCAACCTGGTGGTTTTGGGGTCGCCCTGACCTGATCTTCACGCAGACATGCAAATAAGGTGGTCTGGGACTTAATTACAGAGGCAGTTGGTAAGGGCTCCTGACACTTTTGGAGTGAGGGATGTGCCAACATGTAGGAGTCTCGAGTGGAAGGCTATGGCTTAGTAGAAGGCCTGAAAAGTTGCACAGCAGAATTGGCAGTCAACATTTCAGTTTGAGGGCTTCTGATGACCAGTTGAAGCTTTTTCTGTTAAAAAAAATGTGCTCCACATAAGTAGAATGTACAGGGTTCTCACCAGAATATTTTCACAGCGTAGGGGTCAGGTACAGAAGGGCAACTTTTCGTGATGCAAGCTGCACATAGAGTCCAGTGAAGGACCTGGTATTTTCCCCCAAAAATTTTTACAACTCCCAACACCCAGATATAATATATAATATATATTCTGCTGGTCCCAGATAGTGAGTATCGAGGGACAAATTCCATGGTTTCGATACTTTTTTTACTGAAAATTAGAAAGTGTCACAAGGTTCTCCCCAAAAAGAAACACCCACACACACGTTAAAAGACAGTGTAAGGGGCTAAATCACAGCATAGGGTATCCAAATCACAGCTTAGGGGCCTAGTCAGAACCCTGATGTACTAGTAGGTTTGGTTGAAGGATGTCAGTATCTCTCTCCCATTTCACTCATCCCACCCAGTTCTAGCCTGGACGAGAAGGAATCGTAGCCGTAGGCGTCCCTCATTAATTCGCGAGCCCACGTGTATTTTTAATCCCGCTCTAAGCACGTGGGGATGAAGAGCCTTGGGGGAATCTCCGCGCAGAAAGAATAACCCTGCCGACAAATTAGCCTATTATTGCCCCGATCAGACTCGATTGATAACGGGGTCTTGACGGCCACCAAAAACGCTTCAGGCTCAATTACAAGAGAAGAGTGGCGCGGCCTTCCCAACCTGAACTGACTTGACCCCACTGAAAAGTGGATCACCTCCGTAATAACCATCGACTTCCCTTTGATGTAATTGTTGTCAGCGGGCTGGAGGGGGAAATCCCCCCGGCAGAAATGAAATGCCTCGTTTGGCAATTCAGCGGATAATGTCAAGGGGAACTCCCCTCTTCATAAAAACATTTTGGCGGTGAATAATTTAGGGCTGCGCGGAGGGCTTGAATGGGAGGCTTGTTTCACCTGCCACGTGGTTGGGATGCTCGGGAGGACAGCCCAACATGACAAGACGTGCTCTCATGCGTAACTCTTGGAGCTACAGTGCAGATGTTGAATAACTTGAATCTACAGGCGTGCAGCTTGCGATCAGAAGTTGTACAGAACACAATTAAAATCTGTGCATTTCTCAATTAACAAGCGTGCAAAAGCCTTGCCCCTGTCGTTTGAAATGTGTTTGTTTCTCATGTAAAATGCGTGAAATTGTATATTGCTATGTCTTGTAGCTCATCAGTGCACATGGTTTACACAGAGCTTTTGCTTTATTTAGCTCAATGGTAATATAAATGCGGACTGGAAGTCTGTGTAAATATTCTGGCATCTAGACGAAACAACAAATGCGCTTGAATTTCTGACAGAGATATAGTATGTTTGTGCTAATGTATGTTTAAACTTAACGATGGTTATAACGGAATACTGCAAGTTTTTACCCAAAGCATGTTGACTTTTGTATTCTTTATATGGCCTGTGGCCATGCCAAGAAGTAATTGCCTGAGACACAGTTGCCATTTTATGTTTTTGTATTGAAAATTGTCCCATCCAGTGCTGCCTTATTGTGCATAACGTAATATAATAATATGTAGGTGGACAACAAACTGAACAGAATATGCATGAAACTGCACATACACTCAGGCCCTGTACTGCATGTATCCCCCCCTTGGCCAGTGGACTCACCGCTTGTGTTTGTTTGTTTTCACGCAGGGCCCGATGCATGAGATGAATCCGCAGATGGGCCAGAAGCGGCCGCAGCCTTACGGCGCCCCCTACGCTAACGCCAACCCATACTCGCAGCAGCAGGGGTACGGGGGACAGCCGTACGGCCAGGGCTCGCCGCCCCGCTACCCCGGCCCTCCTCAGGGCAGGATGGCCAGCATGCAGGGGCAGCCGCCTCAGTACGGCAGGCAGCAGGTATGCATGGAGAACACACACTTGTACCCGGTTTATCGTCTGTTGTTCCCAGTCTTCCAAGGGTTAGACATGCTTGCACATAGGTGCTGAGGCTTGATGGCAGCCCACCTTTTGCCTCTGTCCTATGGGTTGATGTTGCCAACAAAATTTACACTAGCAGACTTCTACATTATGGCCACAGACATTTTTTTTTCAGTGAAATAGCCTCAAAGTTAAAGCTATAGATTGGTCTTAAAGCCCTTACCATCTCTGTCAAAATGTAGAAATGCAAATATTTGATGTTCATGCAGCCGCTCTCTCATTGGTGGAACCGCTAATTGTTATCCTCTCATTGGTTGAACTGCAAATCATGATGGACATTCAGCATTGATCTATTTTACACACTGTTCCCTGTTGTGACTTAGAAATATGAAAGGAGCTTTTAAATTTTATTTTTAATATGTGTACTATGCATATCAAAATATTTGTAAGTAAAAATATCAAGGTGGAAAGATGCATATTTTGGTGCGATATTTGCCTACTGATAATTTGCATATGTCTTCAAATAATTTGCAAAGTTATATGATGTCAACAATAACAGCAATCGCTGGTATAGCCTAAAGTTGTCTCTACCAAATCTAACAGTTGATTATTTCCACCCTAGATGCCTCCTCAGTACAACCAGTCTGGACAGCAGGGGATGGGAGGGTACAACCAACAACAACCTCCCTACTACCCACAGCAGCAGGGGCAGATGGGATACCAGCAGCAGGGAGGGTACCCCCAGGGTCAGCAGATGCCATCACAGATGCAGCAGGTGTGTGATTGGTCACCTTTTTTTTTTTCAAATATAACTGTCAATCTTGACACACCAATTTTATTTGTTGGTTCTTGGATTTTTACAGAAAAATATGAAGCAAGGGTAAAAAAACTGGCATAGGCATCCCAAGATAGCCCCAGAAACTTAGATAGGAGCCATGAACTTGATGAAGTCAACATACCAGGCTATTTTGAAATTGAAATTACTGGATTGACAAATGGAAAAACAGTAAATACAGGAAAGACAAGGATTTTTTTCAACTGCTGGGGCAAAAATATTAGCATTTGGAGTTGATTCAGAACCTTTATTTTTTTTTTACACATTAAAAAAGATGAAGCAGGCAAATGTGAGAACCAACTGGTTGAATTGGTGTGGCCTAATCTTGATTTTTCAGAATTTTTGTTGTCCTTTCCTTTGATAATCATCTTGCATATCTCCAGGTCTGGTATTTTAGTATCTGATGGTGGTGCTACTACAATATTATACATCTACATGTATGCTATTTTGAGCCTCAAATGTAGAACTAGCCAAGGAGCTCCCTGTGTTTCTCCATGAAGTTATTATGATGATTTGTACACCTACTAAGCTTGCTAAGGCACACTGTACCTGCAGGGCTCAAAATACCCTGAATAGTGCAGCTGAAATTGGAGCTGTGCAGGTATTTCTTGTGTCTACCTGCCCCTAACCTGTACTGGTCCTTGTACTGGGTTTATATGTACATGTAGGTTTTTGTCATTGCCACCTATGAAATAAAAAAGATTTTATGCAATGGTTTCTGAACAGTTTGTCATATGATCCATACTTCGTAAATTCTGAGTCGTGCAGGTAATTTCCAGTGTTACATGCACCAGTACAGGTGTGAATTATTTCGAGCCCTGGTTCGTGATTTTCCTGGTATCTCAAGCATCCCGTAACATAGACATTCCTCATGTCTCAGAAATCAAATTTGCGAAGTCGGTAGTATGTATTTTCTACATAATTTCTATCTAATAAGATACATGGACCCCCACCAGGGCAAAGGAATGGCAACTTTAAGAAGTCTTAGCTGAAATTAATGCTGAAATACATCCCTCGGAGCAGTAATTTTGTTAGAACAACTCTAATCAGTTGTGGTTGATTACTCACATTAGTAGTTGTCACAGTTGGGGTAGACCTGCATATGTTAGAGGATTTCCGTCCCAAGCCGGCATTAGTGCTCACAGGAGCATAGGCAGCACTGGGGGAGTGATATGTCAACGGAGAAAATCTGATTTGTATGGAACAACTTGTTCTAGCCAGTCTTTCCATCATTTGACAGAATTTTGCTGCTCGTGAGAGACCAAAAATTTGCCCAATCCAACATCTTTGACGGACAAAAATTGGCGTCTGTGACGGACAAATGTTGGCGTGCAAAGATATAGAATATCATTAAATTAAGCTTAGTCTAATGCAGGAAATAGTGTTTCAGAGGGTCAAGATTTCAAAATTTTCCTGGAGAAAAAAGATACAGGCTGGCTGGAAGACTGGTGTCAATGGAGGATATCTGATTTGCATGGAAATAATCTTAGTTTGATTTGGGGTGGTCGAAACTTGCACAACCTAAAAATGACTGGATTTGACATTTTGGTCAAAAGCATGCTTTTTTGCTTCAAACAATTTGGGTGTATTTGTTGTATTGGGTAACAGCAGAGATGAACAGAAAGGAGGTAATATCAGATGCTGAGGTGCTAGTGGTTGACAAATACACAAGGATAAAACCTTGATTAAAAACTATTGGCGTTTTATATTTTTGATATTATTTTAGATCTACAGTTCCTCCCATTCGCCCACATTTTGTTTGATATTTCCTTTGCTCTATACACATTTCAACCTGTCAGTATGTGCACCAGAAAGGACCAACATGAACAATCCTTTGCCTTCCATATATTCGGTCTCCTTTCCCCCTATTTGGTCAACTATCCTCCTTTTTTCTTTGCAGCAAATCTAGATACTTAACAATTCAAAATTCCACCTCTTTGCAATTTTAAGATTTCTATCCCAAAGAGATATGGATTGTTACAATTGGCCAGAATAATTTTTATTCTTCTGTTCTCAAATGCAGCTTCTCTTGCTGTGGACAGATAGTGTATCGGTATACCACCTTGTATACGGGTCACTTGTGAAGTCCATGAGCAAAAGTAACAAGTTATATAGTCTGGGGTATAGTTTTTATAGGATTGGATGCCTTCATGCTATTTCTGGCAAGGTAGTCACGTTTGGCTGCTTTCTCATTGATAGCATCCAAACGCAATGTGAAAATGTGACAAGAAAAAACCTTGGAAATAATAGAGTAACGATTTAATGTGATGGTCTCTTTGTTTCCTTTCTTTCAATGTATCATTTATTCCCTCAATCTCTGATGCTGCAGCTTCTGACTGAAAAGAGTGACATCGCTACCCTTCTCAAAAACAAGGTAACCCTTGACCTTGTTTGCTTGCCTGGCCAGCTCTGCGCATGCACAGTACCCTGGGATACATGGCTTAACTTAAAGGCACAAAACGCGATTTCAGGGCAGCACAGCTGGATTTTCAGTTAATTTCCTGGTCATGTTTTAATGTATTAAACTGAATCAACCCTATGTCATAGCATATTGATATGACAAAAATGTGATGTCACTGACGGAAAAACGGTTGCTTGTTTTGTATCTTAGTTTTCTAGCTATTTATTGGTGGCACCAAAAAATAAAGGTACCCCTCACTTAGCTTGTTTTGTGGCAGTTTGAAAAGATTCAAGCATGAAATGATTACAAAAATGTGCAAAAAAAATGGCACTTACTGTCAATATCATCCAGAATTTTTCTCATTGCTGCCCTGAAATTGCATTTGATGCTTTCAAAGTTTGTAGATATACAATATACCTGCCTTTTCTGTGTGCTTCAACAAATTCGGATATCTTTTATTTAAGCACAAAATGATGACAAAAATGTGTTAAGAAAATGGCAGTCAATGTCATCCAAAATTTTTGCATTGCTGTCCTGAAATTGCATTTGATGCCTTGAAAGTTTATAGATATACAATGTACCTGCCTTTTCTGCGTGCTTCAACAAAAACAGTTCTTTTTTGGTTAACCTTTAAATGTAAAAAAAGGATCACTTGTCTATACAGCCAAGCAGTGCATCTCACCCCATCTAACACATTAATCTATGTAGTGCCCACTACTATCCTCTCTGAAGTGCCCTTACCACTGTAATGTTCCACAAACTCCACATGGCTGATAGTATGGTACACATGCGGATCCTTCTGTAGCATTACTGTGGAGGGCACTCTGGACAGGATAGTGGTAGGCACTACATAGATAAATGGCTAGAACGTGGGAGGATTTAAGTGGCATTGCTCTCGCAGCAAGGGAAAGTTTAACAAGGCTAGTACTGTTCGGTTCGTTCAAGTGTACCTGATATATTATTGAAGTATATTTAGATTTTCATTCTGGTTCAAAAATACTCGGTCTGCAATGATTCGGACAGAAAATAGCCAATATTCAGGGCAGAAAATACCACCTGCATATGCAGGTAACTGCAGGTGAAATTGGAGCTGTGCAGGTATTTCTGATGTCTACCTGCACCTAACCTGCACTGGTCCATGTACTGGGTGTATGCAGGTAAAATTGGAGCTCTGCATGGATTTCTGATGTTCACCTGCACCTAACCTGCACTTGGACCATGTTCTTGGTTTATATATGAATGTAGGTGTATGTGGATTTTTAGTTGCTTCATTAATTGTTGCCACCTTTTAAGTTTGAAAGAAATATTGGCAATGGTTTTTGAACAACCTCTTGAATGAGTGATGCAGGTAAAATTTGTCTGGTGCAGGTAATTTTAAATGTTACCAGCACCAATGCAGAATAAGTATTTCAAGCCCTGGCTAGAGTGTGTTATATGCACAGACATTTTTTGTCACACTACCTCTGAAAGCTAGAAAAATGATATTTCTGTCTTCAATCCATTTCAGCACATGAAATAGGTGACAAACACACAAAGAGACAGAAAAGAAAGTTGAACTTGTCCTGCATATAGTGGATACATAATCAAGTGCTCAAACACTTTTGCAAAAACATACAAGCCATGATAATGTGTTAGAACATGAAAGCCTTATCTATATCCATTCACCTACTTGATCAACACGACTCTTGAATTAAGTATGGGTTTTGTTAGGTTTAGTGACATTCACGATTGTTCCAAATTGGAGGAAAAATCCCCTTACAAATAAGTGCCTTTATCAGCTATTATGATGTGAAGCATACATGGAAAGGTCAGTCAAAAGTCACCCCATGTCTGGCATCTAAATGTCATTGGTACAATGGCAGTGGTATATGTAAGGCCGTGGAAAAATAATGTTGTGTTTCCTGTTTCCCGACCGACCCTAGAAAAACTGCCTACTCAAGCCTTTTCAAGGGACACATAGTTCTACCATTTCTATAGCTCCATGGACCATGATCTTACACCTGAGTGAGAGTGACAAAATACATTGTACAATCGGTTTTCCAACATTGACATTGAAAGTAGAAGTGTGCTCATGCAAGTTTTACTTAGATAAACTGTATTGTACAAGTTGGATCATATCACTAGAGATTGCCAAAGTCTAATAAAAAGAACAAAGAAAAAAAAAAAGATAATCCCGACCTACCGACCCTACTTTTTTCAGCACTGAAACAGGAAACACAAATTTTTTTTTTCCTAGGCCCCAAGTGACACATGAATCTCTGGTACTGTTCATTCCTGCCCTGCTTCTTTGCGCTGTCGTCTAGAATTCTACTTTATTTCTGTTAAGAATTGTTCCAAGAACGGGAGAGATAGAAAAGAGCATTATGCTTGCTATATAGCATTATTATGGTTCAATGGTAGTTTCAGGTAGGGGGAGGGGGGAATAAATCAGGAAATTGTCATAATGGAAAGACCAAATGTAGTAATGATAAAGGATAAAAATGCTGTCACAATTGCAAACAATTGGGGCAAAAAAAGATTGCTGTAAGGTGGTGAATACATTGTCATCACCCATGAGTATTTTGTGATCGGTCCCTTTGTTCCTCTTTTTTTGACCGAAGAAAAATAAGGAAGTTCGTTAGCCGCATGGCAGTTTTATGTTTTATTCAAGTACTAGACTTCCTCCATGTATTGACGATGAACACAATTTCTGATATTTCAGCTTCTTGGTGATAAGGGGGATATGTCAACTCTGATGCAAAACAAGGTATAATGCTAGCCCCAAAACCGTTGCCCTGCTTACCGTGAACTCTGTACTAAAGCATGGCCTGTGTGGGCGTTATATATGCAGCTATTTCCTCATGTACTCATACCCTAACAACAGCATCAAGAGCTTAAAAGTATCATTGGGAAATTGCTGTTATCGTGTGCCGACGATTGTGAAAAAGGGACCGGTTTTTCATGTTTACTTTAGTAATATGATATTTGATAGGCATGGTGAACTTCAAAGCATGCCCTAAAGCAACAAAATGACTGTTATATGATGATTTATTGCATATAGGTTTAATGAAATAACTGAAGAGGAGTACATTCTACAGTTCTATAATTGGCATTTTGATACTGGCCTTAATAAGAATAGAATACCTGGCAACATTTGTTTATTGAATGTTCCCTTTTTTGTGCTGTCTTCTGTGTTTATAAACAAACTAACGGCCATTTTGAACATAACCATGCTAACAATTTCTTTATGTTTAGATGTCATCACAACCGAGCGTGAGAACTGTTTTTTTTTCACATTTGGTTGTCATCGAAGCAAAGAGCAAAAAGACATTTCTCCTATTTGGCAATCACAACAATTCAGTTATGGAAACAATTTTCGTTGTTATCATCATAAGAAAAACATATTATTTCATGTTTGGTTGTGAGACCTGACTGTCTCTGTTTGTATATTTATTATTATAACACCTAATGAAATAAAACAATTGTTTTCATAATTATTTTATTGCCATGGAAATAATTATTACCATGTTTTGTTCTCACCATTAACTGTACACATCATTTCTCTGTTTGTTACGTTTTGTTGCCATCGAACCATTTTGAACTGTTTTCTTTACGTTTGGTGCGTTTTTGGTTGTCACCAGGGTTTTCCCGGAGTGCGGTCTCCCCCGACCGTTGTCCCCAAACCGGTGCCCGCTCCCGACGAGGGCGTCCTCGCTAGCCAGATCACGCGCCCTCCCAGTCTGCCGGTTCGTCCATTTCATTTATTTTTCGTACCTCTTTCGTTTTACCACCGCTATCTCTCACTCTTCCCATTCACACTGTTTTTCCATCCTTTGTGTTGGTCAGTGTTCGAGCCAGCCTGGATTTTTTTCCCTGTCATCTCAATTTTGTTTGATGTAACATCATGTTGAGCGCTGTAGGCACGAAATGTCACTACGGAGGCACGACGATCCTAGGGGGTCCGGAGGCGTGCTCCCCCAGGAAAACGTTGAAATCTTGACCCTGGGAAACACTATTTTTGCATTTTGGGGGGCCTAACCTTAGTTTAATGACATCTCTTTTCAAATCTGAAGATGTAGATTTTTAAATCCATTCAGAGATGACAGATTAGCAAATTTTTGACTGTCGTGAGCAGCAAAATTTCATCTAGTAACGGAAAGATGGGTGCTGGCTAGAACACTGATCCTTTGTTTAAATTAATCAGAAACACACTTCTCTGAAGAAAATGGCACATTTTGCTTCATATTTTCTATATTACATGTTTCTTCTGTTTTTATGTTTTGGAAATTTTCTTCGTACCAGGTAAAACAGTAATCTGTCACGTTTATTGCACTCTTTGGAAAGGGAATGAGTTTAATGCTTGAATCCCCACAAAGCTGATGGTGTTTGTGTGTTCACACTGCACAAACAAAGTATAATTTTCTGCATTTTAGACCACGTAAAATGCCATTAATACTCGTATTTAAATGATAGATATCACAGTGTTCGAAATACCCGTCTGCAGTCTGCAATTTGCAGATAGACTTTCAAGATTGCAGAAGAAAAAATCTTACAATCTGCAATTTTGCAGAAGGAAAAAATATAGGCTCCGGATTCAATAGATTTCAATATTAGCAAAGTAGCGGCGCTGTGAATAGATTGAAAACCTGCGCCGCACGAACCTGCCGCCGGCGTTTTCCAGCAGACTGTAATGGTCCCATATAAGGGAATTTGGGGTCAAAGTTGAACGATTTCGACAAGGCGACGAAAGGCGACGATAACCAAATATGGGCCCTCGGCATTTTCCGATGTTAGATTTCGTCACCCGGGAGGACCCGACAACTGCCTCGGCAATTTTCGGCAGTTTCCGCCGAGCATTTCCCAGCAGGCAACACGGCAAAGGAAACATGGCTTCTCCGAAGAAGCACACTCGCCTCGGCGATAATTTGCCGAAGTTTCGATGTTTTTCCTTGGTATTTTGCATGATTCAAGGAAAGAAAACAAGTTGATCACATGAACAAAAGAGAAATACAGCATTGGGAACCTAATGGTCCGTTTTGTTGGGCGGTAATTTCTCATTTGGAGTGAAAATTTACGTGCGTCACAATTTGTGACCATGTGGTGTAAAATATCAGTGATTTTCGGCTCGATCCGAACCAAACACGGCCCGTAAACTTGTGCTTTGTGATTTCTAGATGACTATCGGTACCGAAAAAACGGGATAATATTGTTGCAAAATGAGAGAGACGGAGACTAAGGTAAACTTCGTTTATTTGAAGGCTGGATTTTGATTTTCCTGGCAGGCTTCCTTGCATGTAGTGACCATCAGTAACAACAAGTATGGATTTTTGTTCCGGCCCAAAAAAACGGTCCACCGACGTTTCGGTTTTTTTGGACCGGACCGATAAAATTTTTACGGTCCAAACATATTTAAAATAGTGATATTTTGTAAGAATTTCAGTTATGCTACAGATTTACAAAGCTATATATATATATGATGCAAAAATAGGCATTATTGGTTTCAGAAGGTTGTAATATGGGGGCTTGTGTATTTGCAGAAAGTATTTCCAAATTGCAGGACGAAATTTTGACTCTTCTGCAATATTGCAGAGCACTGAAAAAAAGTATTTCGACCACTGTATCAAGTAAATACATAGCTTTGGGTGCCTGTAGCAAATATTAATTTTTAACTTCACTGAAAAATCTAGTTGCTTCACGTGTATATTTTGTAGCCACTTTCTATTGTGACATCAGAATTAGAAGTTGACTCTCAGATAACAGCCCAAGTTTTGGTGTGGAAGGATATGTTCTTTGTTTGTGGTGATTGGCTCCCCTGGGGTTAAGAACGCCACAGACACATGGTGCAGAGGGAAGTAAAATGTCCTGGGGGCTGGCTATTCAATTCTACATCCACCTGATTCACACGCGGATAATTCCACGCAACCCAGCTGTCACGTTCACAGACCAGCCCGCGAAAAGTAGTCCACACGCGTTCATTATACTAGAGCCCGATTGCCACAGCTTATTTTCTTCCTGTTGTTTTATCTGATTTATGACACATCTGTTACAAAAGTGATGTTTTTTATGTCAGTTGAATTTATAATTTTGCAACTAATTGAAACAAATGATGTGAAAATATCAGGGGGAAAGGATATGTAGGTCAAATTTTGTTGTAGAAGTAGCAGGATAGTGGTAATTTTGTGAGAGAAAGGGGAATTTTAGGTTATTTTCTGCATCAGTAGTGCAGCACTGCCTTATAGTCATGGGGCCCATGTCACATGCAAGCACACATGAGATGCTGGTCACATGATTTGAAATTTTCAGCCCATTTTGTTGAGTTTGCCTCACAAATTGGACGAAAAAATGTTTAATTTCAATGTTAGCTGTGGTAAATGTTTCCGTGTATGGCTGGACTAAAGTTTAGTTGGTTCTAATCCTGGCCTGTGCACCCCATACTCGTGTGTCAATGGCCCTCCCCCAGTCTGCCACTGCTGATAGCATGCATACATGTCTGCCAGTGAAGGACACATTATTTGCCCAAAATTCTAACTCCTTCTAAACCGGATAATTCTCCCCCAAATTGTTGTCATCGTGTCCAGGAAATACCAAGGATCTTAAACTTGGTCTCCTTTGTCGTCATTTCATCACCGTTTTTCATCTGGGAGCGAAAATTGTCGGCAGCCAGAGTGGAATTGATAGGCAGCCGTTTGCCCTTCTGTTCTACAAAGGCCATACCCGGGACTACTTTTCATGCAAATGAGGAGACTTATAAATAAACCATTATGCTTTCAGCCTAATGGCAGGGAACAATGGTGTGCATGATAACAGGGCACTTTCAGTAGTTGTTGTTGATCCCTGAAACCTGAAAATTGACAAATTTTGTCAGAAAAAGATGTAAACATGAGGAGGGTTCCATGTCATTGGTGGATGGTTAAAAGGGAAAAGGGGCTGAGCCAGTTGTTGGCAGGCCAAGGGAACGTTCGCCCCTCCCAGCAGATGTGGGAAAGAAAACCCAAACGCATTGTGTCAGCCCGGTAAATGAGGGCAGGCAGTATGCAAATTGGGGCCCCATGTGTATACAGTGTTCACATGGAGTTTCTGGGCTTTCTTTCCACCAGATTCTTATCTTTGTAAAACATAGTAGTTTCTCAATTCAACAGTTAAAAAACAGGACTTTTTGAAGGTGTAGGAGAAATCTTTCAGACTGAATTTTTCATGCAAGGTTGACTGGGTTTTTTTTTTAGACTTGAAACCCTCTTTTTGTCTAGGAGGCCAACTAGCACAACCTGTCCTTTATCCAGAACCGTGTCAGATAGGGATATCTGTCCTGAAATCATACACATTGTGTCCTGTTCTTATGCCATTTTTTGCCAGGTTCGATTGCTGTGCGAACGTGTAGGTTTGGAAGAAAGCAGTCAACATGGGGGGCTAGAAAGGGGGCTTTTTTTTCCTAGTCAAGTCGTGCTGGTGTGTTTTATTGTTGGCATGACAGTGCCCAGCCACACTGGTGTGTGCCACCTGAGGCACGCCTGACATGCATCCGTTTTCTTTTTAATTTTGCCGCACTTGGCTTGCCGGCTCCTGCTCAGTGGTGCTTGAATATATTATCCTCTGGACCCCGCTCTTGAATTAATGGTGCCGCTGGCAGGCGCAGGGCGAGATTGGTTTGTTAAATAATGTGGCGACCTCTGGACGGGCGTCCTGTGCGCTGGTCCGCGCACGCTCTACCGTCGGATTGAACCAATCCTCGGGCGGACAAAGGGAAGCAGGGACGGAGGCTCCCCGCTTCTCATCTTCGGTTTTAATTACCGCGGATGTTGTCCCATTTTCCGAGGCAAAAGTGACAAATTGGAGCTGGGAGTTCTGGGATAGAACGCAAATGCCCTTTACAACACAGAATACAGAGCGGCGATCGATACTGCCAGTTTTTTTGCATACTCGAGTCGTGATTAAACACCACACACAAATACATCACTGCTCGGATTTTCACAAACATTTTCTTTCATACATATTTATTATTCCAAAATATTTTCACGGTAAGATGCCAGCAAAAGCAGTAGTGTTTATTACCCTGGAAGAAACTGGGGGAAGGGGCTTCGTTTATTGGATCCTGTGTATTGGGTCAGAGGCGAGAGGCTCTGGTGTATTGAGTTTCGTTGCAAATGAGGTTTAATATAGAGGCTGTGACTGGGAGTAGCCAGGCTGGCGAGCTGGGCAACTTTATAGGTCCAGATAAAAGCTGCGTTCGCAGTTCTGATCTAGAATCGGCCCTCTGTTTATACGAGAATGTATTTCTTGCCGTCAGGTTTGAAAATAAAACATTTTGAGAAGTGGGAAACATTTTGGCTGTTTGTTATTTTAGTTTTAATCACAAGAATTAATCCTAACAAACATACGTAATTAATCCAGTCAAAGAAAATGTGTTCTGCAAATAAAGCTATGTTGATAATATGTTATCCTTCCAGAATCACCAAATGTATGTGAACTACACTGCAGTTGATGATATCAAATGATTGTTTTTAAATTTTTATTTTGCGTGCTGCATTTTTCTTTCCTAGTACATGTGCAGAATAACAAGTGGATGTTCTCACAAACGTTAGATATGTGTAGCATACTAGAGCTATTTTTAATTGTGTGATATTTCAGAAATTAAAATGACAACATTGTCTAAATGACTGTATGTTTTTGACTCAGTAATACAATATGGAAGTCCAGACAGCTAGAATTAGTAGAAAGTTAAAGGTTGTGACATTTGTTTATGAAACATTTGAGTCTATTTATTATACTAGCGATGACAGAATTTAGTTATTACACATTATATTTTATTTTGCTGCGTTCTATTCGACTAGAACGTAGTTGGGTTTTCTGTAGTTGTTTCATCATAATCTTTTTAAAAACAAAATGAATAAAACATCTTTTATCTCTTCAACTTCAAGATTAACAAAGGTTGTCAGAAGGCAAGAAAACTGCAATTAAAAAATGTTACCTGTCTTAGAATAATGGAAACAAAATAGAGGAAATATGTGTAAATGTTTCTGTAGTAATTTGAATAAAAAGAAAATAAGTGTAAACATATTTCTTCAGACCTTATCTTTGATCACATTCTTGTGTTGATCCTTGCATAATTGTGTTGTCAAGCTGGCTAATGTCAGTGAATCCAGGGTGATAACACTTGTCAGATTTCCTCAGCATATTCCAAAAAGCTTCTTATTTTTTGTCATACTTAGGGTTTTAAGGTTTTTTGTCGTACTTAGGGTATTTTTTTTTTAAACTGAAGATTAATCATTCAACAGACATAATGCTGCCGCAATTCTTTTGAATTTGGATGTTTCCTTTCTATCCTTTTGGCACAATATATATTGAAACAGTGCGCAAACTGGTGGCCTGGGTTCGATTCCCGAGAGCCAGGGTACTTAACCACTCACCCCTAGTTTCAAAATCCAGAAATACGGTAGTAAATTATACATTGACAGTTCAAATGTAGTTTCTTTTGTGAACCCAAGCAAATTCTGGCAAATACAATGGTAAGGAAAACCACAAATGTAGTTTGTACCACATGCATCTGCTGAGAGTCTTACACGTGGTCCAAGCAAGGTAGCTTTGAAACCTCATATCAAAAGACAGCTGACAACATTGAAGATCAGTTAATATGCATGACTCTACACATTATAATCATCCAACCAGCCTTCAGGCATAACCATCGCTATTGGCAACAGAATTTCAAACATACCATCAGCGTCGAGGGTTTAATCAACAAAGGCGAACGTTGTATGGATTTTTATTTCTGTGTGGGGCTGCTTCTCTATTCTACCCAGGTGTACTTCCTGTTTTTGTTTGATGTGGTTGCCAGGGGTGATGAAACTGCCATTGCCTCATGGGTCAAGAATGTCGAGGTCACGACCCCAATTATGGATTTGGCTTTGGAGGTTGGGGGGGTTTTACCATGGGTTTATTTATAGTATTGATTTATTCAGAAGACAGGACATGTGCTCTTAAAACCTCAGCTGCTTCCTCTGTGATTCTTTGAGAATATTCACTGTTGAATTTTTACGTCTGTTGGTTTACGTTATATGATGCAATGTTTTGTCCAAATTATGACAATCTTGATTCTTATGAAAAAAAATGCAGAAGAAAAACTGAAGATGCCTGTCTATATCAAAATGTTTGCAAGCTATCTCTGAGTAAATTTCTGAAAGGTTATATGATTTTTGTTCTACTGCATTTCATTTTAATAACCTGACAGAACTACAGTGATATGATATTACTGTTAATAAATTCTATCCCAGATCATACATCTTATGTTCCAGAAAATAAATGTTTGGTCTCCATCAGAAAAATTATGTGAAATGCTTGGTTACTCCTCCTCTTTTTGGGAGTGTGGTTATACAATGTGTATGTACATATAAGTAGCCTGATGACTTGGTAGTTCATTATTCTAATGATAACGTTTTTATTCCAGGATCTTTCTGGTGCAATTGACGACCTGCCAACTGGCAATGAGGGAACACAGAACAACTCCACCCCACAACTCAACAACCAGAACGACAAATACAATCAGCCTCCCGAAGCACAGCTCTCCCCACACCCTGGGGTGACCTCCCCACACCCTGGGGTGGCGTCTCCCCACCCCGGGGTGGCTTCCCCCCACCCCCACCCTGGTGTGGCCGGGCTGAGACCGTCACCCTCACCGGTGGGGTCCCCTGGACACCTGAGTGCACAGAGCAGGTCGCCCATGTCACCTGCCAGTGGACCAGGTATGTGATAAGAACTGAGTTTAACTTGGTTCACTTGGAAGAATTTACTAGATATACTGTAATTCACTTCTTGTTCACGGTATCAAATGTTTACGGTCTGAGAAAAATTGAGGTGTTCACTGAACTATATGCTCAAGGTGGTAGCAGTTGCAGGAAATACAAAGTCGGCAAATTATTTGTTAACAGTAATGATAAGTTTGCAGTACAGAAGTGACCACGAAAACTGCGAATATTAAAGTACATTTATTGCAAAAAATTGCGATTTAGACTACACTATTTACACAGTGCAAGGTTTGTTCTGCAATTTGCATATACAAAAGCCACCTCAACCTTCTCAACCTAATAATGCCTATATATTATCAACATCAACATTATTATCAACAAGAGAAGTGTTGTTAAACTTGCATTCCAGTTCAGGTTCAGATTCGAGTCCAACGATAAAGGTTGCTTGCATGGCACGTCTGGGCAAAACTGTGCCTCATATCCACATAGGCCGACACCATTGAATAGCCACCATTGAATCTCTTGCCTGTTTTTTCAGTGTGCAAAATTACAGGTTGCTCAATTTTTCTTTTGTAATATTGATAGTATCTCTCCATGTGGGAACATCAGTGGTTTTTACATCAAAGGTTGTACAAATGTAATTGAGTTTATGAAGGTTTATGTTTTTTCTGTGGCTTGATTTGGTTTATGAACCTCATAAATAGCTTTTATGAAATTTGCATACTTGTAAAATGATAAATAATACATGCATAAACTTCAACTGAGGTTTGTGTTTATATTTACTGATATTGACAACAGTAATGTTGGTGTAAATGTTTACCTCCTAAAAATACTGAATGGGGAAATATATGGACTGGGTACATTAGGGGTCTAAAATAAACTGCTGTTCAGTGAAGAACTGATAGGTGTCCCCACCAAACAAACTAGCTAGCAGTTTGAGGAGGAGGTTCTTGATAAAAGCTGTGAAGTGAAAACCATTGCTGTGAAAAACTGTATTGCACAGGCTTCAGAACGTACCATTCTTATTTTAACTTGAAGTTAACACAGAAGAAGAAATATCCTAAGGAAACTAAGACATATTTTCTGCAAGTTTGAAGATTCTCACAGACTAGATTCTGGTTACTTAACCTTAGCAAATATGGTTGTGGTGTATACCAACTTAAAATAGGATAGGAAACTTACAAGGACATAACATACATTCCCTGATGGGACTAATATCATGCCTAGGTAACTAGTGATTAAAGAAAAACAGATCTATCGACAATCGTTCAACTGTAGATCCTGTATTTTCATAGGTGGAAACTTGAGACTTGTGGAATGGATTGTACAAGAAAAACTTGTTGTGTCTGCCTAGCCTGTCTACATCAAAAGAAAAGGGCATTGTACCCTCTAGTATTGTAAGGAAAAATTGAGAAAAGAAACTATTTCAGTTTTCCGTTTGTAAAGAGGCTAAAATTGCCATTGACATTTGCGAAGAAAAATTAATTTTCCTTTTTTATACACTGAGCTTCAAGTACTACAGTCAAACCTGTACAAGTGACCACCTCTACAAAAGGACCTCGTGGCCACTTTTTGGTGATCCCTTAGATAATCTTTCCCATTGACACAAGCATTAAGAATCCCCTATATAGTGACCACCTGTCCACATAGACCAGATTATATATATCAGTCCCTTCAGTGGTCTTGGGAAATTTTTACTGTACCCTTGTTACAACATAAGATACAGCATTGCCTACCTTGTTCTTCCAACAGACAGCTCTCTCAGCAGTTAATGTCTACCAATTGCCATGTGCTACTTTCAAAAGAAATCCATCTTTACCCATATTGACACTCCAATGTAAGATTTAATGCCCCCGGGGTGAGTTAGAAGTGTGAAGTTATGGGATTGGGCCTTGTAAGTTGGCACATCGTTCTATGCTGCCACATCTCATTTATTACCTGGAACTGTGGATGAAACCTCTGGTTTGACTGGGATCTATCAGTCTCCCAGTCTGACCTCGGTTCACCCCAGAGGGGCGACATGTGCTGTTGGAAGGGTCACACTTGGTTCTTAGAGGGGTGCTAATTGCGGAGGCGGAGCTTGTTTAAAGCCTGGAGCCATGTGCTTGTAAAAGGGACTCCCAGAGTATTGTGGGATAAGTGGCACACGGAAGTGTCAAGACTGTTTACTTCAAGAAGGGAGAACGTCTTCTACTCTGGGTCAAGACGTGCCCCAGACCAAAGACTTGGCTCATCACTGGTATTACTGTACCAATGAAATACATTTGTAGTAGAGGGGTCGCATCCAAAATGTCTTAAAGGAGCATTATGTAACATTTTTGCACCAAAAATTGAACTACATTTTATTTTAAGAAATCTTCATTTGATTGTCATTTACTTCAACTTTTCAACATATTTGTGCTAAAATACATTTGTATTTCAAATTTCTGACATTTATGGTTGGCAGTAAAACAGCCGACAGGAGGCACACTCAGTTTGTGTCACCACCACAAAATACCAGAATGTAAACAATCTTGACTGACAGCACGTTTCTAGCTTTTAAACACACTCGTACAGTGTAATATTTTGGCACCACCACCTCCTGAAAGCCACTTTATTACCTTGGAGTAAGGTTGATTCAACTTCCTTTCTAAATTGGCTTTTTTTATATGTTACATAAGAATTCTGAATAAGTAACAGCTTTCTTGCAAGTTCATGCCCAAGGTTAATTGCAAACAGACATTGACAAGAACAATGAGTACAGAATGTATTGAGCAATGTAAAATAAAAACATATATACTAACATGAAGTTCTACATTCTACTTATCTAATTTTCTATCTCTACCTAAAACTAAAAATGTACATATACGTATATGTTACATAATGCAGCATAAAAGTTACTATCCTGTGTCATTGCAACTAACATTACATTTGGTTGTTGCTGCTCCCTGGCAGGCATAAATGGCACCACAGCTCATAAACTTCAATCTGTAGTGGCCCTTTGGTACCTTTTCTCTCTCTCCATTATTTTGATGTTCCCCAGTATTCCAACTGCAATGAAAAGCTTGTCGCAAGTGGCATAAAGGGATTAGAATTGAAATTGAGCGGTATAACATTGAACCCACCGAGTAGTAAATGTGCTCTTTAGAATGCCACAACCTGTATCATGTGTCAAACTGTTAAGTGATCAGACCGTTCAAATCTCCAAGCAGATCTCTTGGTGGCTACAAAGACAGTCTCAAATTGGCGTGGCAGTATCCATTTGCCAGGTAGTTATCATTTGCCACCGGGCTGGCATAATAAAAGATACCAGTACAAGAGAGAAAGGCTGATAAAAACGGCTAAACTTGTCAAAAATAAACCGAAGGCCAAATCTCTGCTTGGAGTGTATCAAACTCCAGATTTGGGATGTCATCATTTGGGTTAGGTTGCAAAGAAGACACAGAGGGATTAACAGTATTTATATGTAGTTATGTAACAGATGGCTCATTTCCATAACATCTGTATTTGTGTTATCATTCAAGGGGATGGCTTTATTCAGGTCAGTGTGTTAGCATTACTTACATAAAACAGACTACAGTCTGGAATATCTTTACTTAGGCCACACCAATTTAATTTCTTGGTTAACGGATTTTTCTAGAAAAAAAATGGAGCGGGCGGGCGAAAAAAAAATAAAAATAAAAATTTGAGACCACCTGCCATACAGCCATGTAGTAAGCAATCCAGTAAGTTAAGTTACAAAATGATATAAGACATTATATTAGACACTTATTGAACTGAAAGGACCATTACTACATGTATGAGCAACTTCTCTTACATCCCTTTACAACTATTTGTATTATTTTGCAAGATACACATCTTTACTGTATGAACAACAAACTGTCAGTTGACAAGACACCCATCCAACTGGTTTCACTTTTATTCATCTTTCAAAGTTCCAAAGAGTGGTTTAAATCAGGGTGCTCTGTTCAGATCCCATTGTTTTCTTAGTTCAGGGCACACAGCTTACCACTGGGCTGGGCATTCTGTTGTGTCTGGCTGATATGGAAGCTATTTAGAGCTTGAAATTTACAATATCCTAAATATATGCTTTAGACAAATTTCCAGGAATGTGTAAAAGTTATTGGAAAAAGAATTAACTACTTTTACAGATATTTTATTTCTTTCCCCAATTCCCAAATACATTTTATATTTCCCATTTACATTATACATAGCCATCATTCAAACAAATAGCCACATTGACACACTCTTCAAGTTGCCACAAATTCAATGGTCTAGGGTTTCACTATAAAGTCTTTGATGTATGGGGATTTTTATTTGTAGGGGGAACCATTTTATTAAAAAATTTAGATGTAATAATTGATGCATTATTTGCAATTGTACTCCTGTTTATAGGTATCTAATTAAGATGTAACTTTGTTAGAATGCCACATGCACATGTAGTGCTTTTCACAGAGTAATTTCTATAATTAAAAGATCCTATTTCCCCCTACTCGAAGTGGACTCTTCCGACCGTGAGGAAGTTGCTTTAGTGAATGGACTTACGTGCATGGAGGACTTTTTACTTTGCCAAATTCCCATGTTTGTGGTAGGATTTTGTACTTTTTGAGAGTAATACAGTTTGTGATGCCAGAATACATTGTTATGCCGTGTTATTTTTACATATTCCCTGGAAAAAAGATCGTTTTGAAGGTGTGTGTGCATGTGCCGCCCAGGCCGAATTTATACGTTCGGCCGATTACTCTTTTAACGCCCGTTACTAGCACATGTTTCCGACACAATACGTGTTTCTAAATGAAATATAATATATCTAAAAGGGAGATGATATGTTGTTACAGGTGACTTAGTAAATCTGCCGTACGTTGGACTGTCGTCAGTGAAGTTTTGTCCCATGAATGGTGACATGTGCAAAGGGGGTGGGGGGCGAGTTCTATATCAAAAGAATTTTTTTTGACGAACTTTTGAAGAGGCAACCTGGCTTTCCGAACAAATTGCACTCAGAAAAATGTTTCTGCCTTGAAGCAATGTATTTTTAACGCTGTTAACTATGCCCAAATTTTGAAAAATTACAACGTACGGGGTGGATTTTGGGGCCCCAATTCGGGACCCGAGAGTATGGATTTTTGTTCTGTTTTTATTTTTATTTCATTTTGGCAAAAAAACGAAGCGGCGAATCCGTTAACCAAGGAAATAAATTGGTGTGGCCTTAGAAGGACTTTTCCCCACACAACTTTTATTGTGCTGTGACCAAAAAAAGAAAACTTTTAAACAAAGCAATGCTTTTCCTGCTCCAGCCTTTTGTCTGTGAACATTATATATTATAATTCATATGCATCCGAGGGTAATCATGTTTTTGGCCAGGAGTATTAGAAAGAAACCATTCCTGGTTTCCCTGTCATTCTCTCAATTTTCTACAGGGTTTTGCAATAGTGAGAAAAGTAGTTGCTAGAGTGGGCCATGTGAGAGGGGGTGTCTCTGCCAGTTTACACATTATTTACACATGAAAAGCTCTTTGTGAAGCCCTTGACCCTGCCCTCAGGCAAACAAAAGGGCCACTTGGTCTGACAAGGTTACAGGTGTTAGTGTGTGGGGACAAAGGGCCTGAGTGTGCAGGGCTCAAAATTCACTTTTGGCAATATATACCTGGTGCACCCAATCTACAAAATTAGGTGCACTAAATTTTTTTGGGTGCACCATATGAAGTAAAACCTATAATTACAATTATCTTACTGCTCATCTGCTGAGCTTAAATCTGAAATGGGAGCTAACTTCAAAGTCTTAAGTATTACAACAAAGTTTTTATTATTTTTCTGACACTTAGATGCCTGGAATATCCTGTATACTATTACACATTTGATATGTACAAAAATACCTGCAAAAGTATTTGGGTGCACTAGTGCACCCACAGAAAAAAATTGGGTGCACAGCTCCAAATATGGGCGCACTAAGGTGCACATGCACCCAGTATTTCGAGCCCTGCTAAGAGTAAGACCCTATTTACACAATGGGAAAAAAACTGACGTTTAGAAAACTGCACGTGTTGAATTTTTCTTCTGTGTAAATCGGCCTGCTTTGTCGTACATCAATAAGTTTTCCTACGCTCTGCAGTTTCTGAATGATTTCCAAAATATTGTCTAACCACAAACTTGCTAAATTTATTTTGCTTAACTGTGTCGTAGCAAATGATTTTGTATTCAGGGCAGTGAGTTTTCTACATTGCACTACAATGCAAAACCTACCCAATTGTGAGTTGTTTGTAAGAGGTATGTAAGCCCTGTGTAAGGAAACAATTCAATATATTAGAACCATTCAAATCTGAGAATTAAAAAAAATGACTTTGGTCAAAATCAGATCCATTGATTAAACCCTAATTTTCTTTACACCAAAAAAAAGCTATTAGGCAACATAGACGAGCTCACAATGTTAAATATTCCCTATTCCAACAGTGTAGTTTCCAGCTACGTTTTCCTACCAGAAGATGAATGAAAGTAATAGACTTTTATAACCCGTGTATTTCCTCCCTATAGTAAGTGATAAGCTCATATTAAGTGCGTGCTATGCAGAGAATCAATACTGTAGAACTGTGAATCACTGCCAAACTATTAATAAATTCTCCTAGTTGCCATCCGATAGGCGTATATTTTGGTTAATCCTTCATAATCTTTAAAGCTGTATTGATGAAATATTACATAATGCTAGAATAGCCCAAGGCGGGAGTTCAGGTAATATTTGGTGCCCTGAAATAGTGAGCTTTACAGTATAACCTTCATGTTTGAATCATGAGGCAGCGAACGTGCTCGAATCAGATACATAAATCACGCCTTCAGCTGTGATGTTATTACCTTTGCCAAGGGCATTCTGTTTTTACCAGCGTATTTGTTGGTTGGTTTTAAAATTGATTTTATTTTTCGTCCTTCTTTTTATGCGGGGTCAGTTTTATCTGAAAATCGTTCTGAAATTTTTCAAAAAAATCTTTATCCAATGGATGATTTAGAAAATTTCTAAATGATTTTTTGCTATTGCAAAGTATTAGCAAGCCTCCTACGAACAGAGACTTTCTTATCAATCAAGTCACAATGATAACAAGTATGGGTAGAGATTTTATAACATTATGCTGCGTTGCTTACATGAAACCAGTGCTTAATGATTCTATGTGCTTAATGCCAGCAATGTTGTTGCATTTGCATCAGAATTTCACACTTTTGGCGTTTAAAACAGTGCCGAAATAAGCTCTAAAATGAGTCCTTTTTTTCTGTGTGGTACCCTAAAAGTCAGTAATGTTTAAAGGCATCCAGTGCGATTTCAGGGCAGCAGAACCGGAATGTTCTACTGGTAAAAAAGGCAATCTTTGTGATATTGATACATACTGCTTCACATTAGCACATTTAAATCAGCATTTCATACTTAGGGCATTTAAAAAAGCCCTAAGATGAGTCCTTTATTTTCTGGGTGGTACCCTAGAATCAGCCCAGGGCCCAGTAACCATTTTCAGAATGTCAGAATGTTGGGACATTTTTGCTCCATGAGGGTCAATATGCATTAGGATAGTGTGGTATCAGCTCAGTATGTAGATAAATGACTAGAATATTGACTTTGAAAAGTCGGGGTTTCCAAGCCCTAAAAACTGCACTGGATGCCTTTAAAGGAGTCCTAGAAACACGTAACGGCTTTCAGAAGGCCTCCGTCGGGCCCAGCTGCTGATAAATGATGATTACAGTCCCAACCTCTACCCAGTTTCTGTGTTATCTTAGTTACAGCCCTTCTATCTCCCGCCAGCCGCGTTATGCAAATGTCCGCAGCAAATTATACAAGAGCCCCTGGGGTTAACGCTGTTTCTAAAGCTTGCCACACCATATTATAAAACACTGTATGAAAAGTAACCAAGGGCCTAGATGAAAGAACAAGAAAACTTGTGTCTGATTTTTAAAAAAACAAGGATAGTTTAAAGAGGTTAGGACATAACACATTAGCAGTAAATATGAAGAACATTTTGATGATCTCTTACTTGTGTTGCTAAGCAAACAAGGTTGCCATAAGTGACGCAAAATGTTAAGATGAATCTATGGTTAGAATAATGCAGTGACACACAACAATGAAGTTACGATGATTGTGATGAATTAACTGTTACATGTAATAAACTCCGGTTTAGAATCCCGCGCAGGCAAGGCAGATTACTATGCCTGCGTGTTATGCAATTTTCATGGTATCTTTACACAACTGTGTATAAAAGCAATTTGTAAGTCGGTGGAGGACCATTAAATGCTTGTTATAGGTCACTGATGTGCTGTACAGGATGAGTGTGTTGAGTGTGTTATGGTTGTTATGAGTGATTCGCCTCTGGCATTCAGAAAGGGCGCAGGTTTAGGAATAGTGTGTTCAGCACTGATTATTATGAAGGGCTGGTTGTCTCCCTTGACCTTGTGTTTGGCTGTTCCAGTTCCACTATTTGACTCTTTGACAAGGGAAAGACAAGCAAATGTAACTAACCCATTGGGACCCCTTAGTCTTGAATACTTGTATCTGATATATTAGCATAACTATTAACACCATAAACAAACAGAATAGAACATGTCAGATGAATTTTAATTGTAATGCAAAAAAACCATTTACCTTTGGTACTGTGTACTTAAGCTTGTTTTATGCATTTTATTTGTTAAAGACCAAGGAAACTGTTCATTAACTTGATGTGAATATTTTTAACTGACAATTCTGTTGTTTGTTTTTTCATCATCCAGGAACGTCACAAATGCCACCACCAACCAGCCAATCAGACAGCATGTCACATAACCAAATGAACCAGTCACCAATGGGGCCTCAGGAACGAGGTACGTGATTGGTCGTTCATTAGGCACTAAATAATTAGACTTGCTCGTTGTTTACATGATTCTCAGAAGACCACCTTTACCTCTCTTTCCTGTTCATTCCATAAAGCTCTTATGTTGACACTATACAATAAGATATTGTCTAGGGGAAACAAGGCAGGTTTGAGACCATCCCTGATTAAAGCAGAATCGAAGGGAGCCTTCATTATGCATGCAGCCACTCTGCCAAGCCTGCCCTTTCCTCTGCTGACTCTCCATATGCTTTTATTAGGCAAGCCCGGGCGGCCCTGGGGAAATCACCAGTTCTCTGTAATGCATCATTCAGGGAGAATTTCCCCAGAACGAGATTCGGTTGGCTGACGGCTTCATTGCGTTTCCCCGGCGCAGAGATAAAAGTGCCCATTACCGCTGGCGGGGGACTCCGTCGGTGCCAAAATATAGAGAATTATCAGCGCGGAAGAGCCCTGTCGGATGGAGATTGGATCAGATGGGCCGGCATTTATTGGGGTTGGGAGGGACAACACTTGGTCAATCGTTCCTCGTATATGGCCCGGGTTGCAGGGCGACGCCGAAGGAGAGAAGGGACGTGACATACTGACAGAAAATCCAATATCGTCAATAACGGCAAGGCCGGCGTGATAAGAGAGGTCGGCCCGCGTGTCGCATCTCAATAACCTCCCGCGCAATTCGTTATTCCAATCTCACTGCCTGAACCCTCGCTGGCAAATGAAAGCTGGACCTGGCAAATTGGTCGCCGAATCAAAGCCCTTCTCCTTACGAGGTAGTTATTTCGACCTCTCCATTACAGCCGGGGGTTAAAATCAACATAACGTACACTACATACAGCTTCATTGTTTATCCTGTGTCTCAATTTATGCATTCAAGCATCCTGTTAAAGACTATTTGCAGTAGATGCACTGTGTGCTTATTTCCGGTAATGTTAGCACATTTGCATCAGAATTTCATACTTAGGGGATTTAAAACAGTGCAGAAACAAGCCACAAGATGAGTCCTTTACTTTCTGGGTGGGACCCTAAAAAATCAGTCACCGTTTTCTGTCACACTATTTGTCACTTTTGCTCTGTAGATGTCGATATACATTGGCATAGTGTTGTTTCAACTGAGTATTACTATGTAGATAAGTGACTAGAATACTGTCTTTGAAAAATCTGGTTTCCAAGCCTAAAAACTGCACTGGTACCTTAAATCATGATCAAATTCAGTGTGTAGGTTAAATTTGACATTCATGGACTACGGTCAACCTGCAAGACCGGGTTTTTGATTCAATAAAACAAGCAGTGCCGCAGAAGTGCACAGTAATCCCTTTTCCCAAAGTTTGACATCCGTGAATGTGGGCAGCCATTTTGATATACATATCACCGTGGCAACAAGGCGGCGTGCATCAGTCTCACCATATCAAAGTGGCATGCGGGGAACATAATTACCGACGTGACCCAATTTCGCGTAAGAATGTCATTCATTTTCACCCCTGCGTTTTAGAATCCCTTCTGAGGCTGTGTATTACGCCCGGAGCCATTTACGGCGTGTACCTACGACGGTACGGCCCCGTAAATTGGCAACACGTTACCGAGGTGAAATAAAGCAATAATGCACTGTGGCAGCTATTAATTTCCACTTCAATACAAGGACCGCGGGGTTAGGGCGAGTGTGGGGAAATGTATAAAGACGTAGGGACGGACTTGTCGTGAAATATGGCCGGGTCCGCTCCTGTATTGGAAAGTAATCTTGGGCTGTGGAGAGGCCATATTTTACGGCAGGTTATAAATCGTGGTTTGACAGGAGGGCTGCTATATGGGGTCGAGTGTCCCCCTGAGGTTACTAGTGCCAACGTGTCAGGACTCCGGTCAGAGATGTGAAATAAGAGCATTGTTAGGAGCATGGAAGGCCCGGGTGTACCTTCAGTTTGAAGCATTAGAACAACTGTGTCTGTACACTGTACCATAGTAATGTGGCATTGCAACAGTACTGTTGAAATTATGATGAACTAACTTACCAAGACAATAAAATGCTAGATAATTAGGAAGAAATTTGATAATTATTTTGATGTTTTAGACCAGTTAAGACACAGTTTTAGAGGTCCACAATGCTTCAAGTTGTAAGATGAAACATTGTAATAGTTTTCTTGTTTTAGTTAAAATATTATATCATTGCCACTATGGTGCCATTCAGTTGAGTAATACTTGATGTTTATGCTTGTCATCTCTGTTACAGGGGGGTACCACCAGCAGATGCCCCCTCCTGGAATGCAAGGGGGGCACCAGATGGGTTCTCCCATGTCACCCTATGGCCCCCAACAGGGGAAGGCACAGATGTCACCCATGTCTCCCAGGCCATCCGGACAGATGCATCCTGGGATGGGCGGAGGGGGTCACCAGATGCCCCCCTACCAGCAGGGGGGTCCCCCCAGCCAGGGTTACGGGCAGTACCCCCAGTCAAGTGAGTAACACAAGGCATACATGTATGATTTATTGATGTATGATATGTCCTGCAGCGCATTTTGTTGCTAAGCGACACCATACGTTTTGTGTATCAGACCTTGAAGTAGGGTCATAAAAGGCAGTGTCTAGGAACCTACGTGATGTGTTAGTATTCGCCACATCACTGCTGTAGTGTTTCATTGTTTTCTGACAGGCTTTTCTGTCAATTATCAGGCAAATTGTTTTGAATGTTGTTACTGATGCATGTTTGAATGTCACTGAACAGCACATTGGCAGAATGTACTGCACCTGTGTGATTTTTCGTGGTTTCTATTCAACATTGCATCAGACTTTTGGCTATTGCAAAAAATATTTTTCTTTCTGATGCATTTGAAAACTGTGGACATGTTTTCGTTAAGTACATGAATACAATGTTAAGACATTCTGCTGAAGTGCTATGCACAATACATTATGGGTTTTGCACAGATGCAGTACATTCTGTCTACGTGCATTACTGAAGAAGTAGAGACATCTGACAGTTCCGGTTTCTGTAATGATTATTTTTCTTCTTCATCACAGGTAACTATTCCAGGTCGCAGGGCATGCAGGGGTATGGAAACATGCCCAACAGCTCAGGCTACAACCCCGGAATGGGCATGCAGACTCCCCACATGCAGGGGAGCAGTAGCGGCGGGAGCGGCATGCACGGTCCCGGGCCCCAGTACAACATGGGGATGAACCGAGTGCCGCCGTCGAGCGGTGGGAACTTCGCCGGGGGAGGGTACGGGATGCCGCCGCAGGGCGCGAGCAGTATCCCCAACACCGGGTCCAGCCAGGCTCCGCCAGTCAACTCCTTCGGCCAGCACAGCCCTGGGATAAACTCCAGCCCGGCGTACAAGGGCCAGGCCACGGCCACCAGCATGAGCGCCGCCCAGATAGCCGCCCAGGCCGCCGTCATGGCCGCAGCCAACACCGCCGGACGGGCGTCCACCCACTCCAGCTTCCCCAGCAGCAGCAGA